GGAGGGGTGGGCCGAGACCGCCGCTTAGAACGGTGTTGCCACCGGCGGCTTGATTGCAGACGGCGATGTTGGTGTGGTTTATGGATTGGAGACGGGCGAGTACGAGGTCGGGCCAGCTGCGGTGGTGTTAGACGGGAAGTGGTTTTGCGGGGTTGAGTAGTGCTTACCGGTTGTTCTTGTTGTCGTCTGAACCTCTTCCGTCGGTAATGCTGTCACCGAGGACCATCAGAGAGCGCGTGGTGGTTGGTACGTAGGCTTGTACTGCGCTGACGAAGTACCAATGTACACTTTGAGTGCCGGAGAAAGTGGTAGCATTGACCTTGTTTCCACTGACGAACCAGCTCGTAGTCCTGCTGCCGGGATGACCAGTGATGCTGCCCCCACTCTGCCCTTGCTGGCTGTACAAGCTTACAGTGAGCATGCTTTGAGGCTTGACTTCGAAGGCAATCTCATCGCTGGTAATGACCTGGCCCTTGGGTACCGTGAAGCTAGACTTGCCACCAACGGTAATGGCTGCTAGTGGTGAAGCTTGCATGCCACTGACGCCCGCAGCGCCACCTGCAGGAAGACCGACAGAGCCTGCGGTGATGGGAAGGTCAGAACCACCGAAAGTGTTGGATATGGTGATCTTGATCTTGGGTGCGCCAACGGACATGTGAAGGGTTTGGCGGAGGGTCGCATCGCGCATCACACTCCCGGAACTCTGTGATCATGTCAGCATTTCTTGAGTTCAACCTTGCACAGTTTAGATCGCGTACGAAAGGCGCTGGCGGCATGTTGCTCGCTTCCACCAACTGTGGCATGCTAGTCCAGGTGTTGATCCAATGCGAGCCATCATCCTGTCTCCTCTCAACAGCGTCAATCGCACGTCCATTTACAGCGGGCGAGATCAAAGAAAGCGTCGCAAACGCGACCGAAAGAAGTGATGTGTAAAACATCATGGCAAGAAACAAAGTTTCAATCGACTGGGATGATGTTGTCGCAATGCGGCTGACAACCGGTATTTGAACCCTTCATCTGGCATTTCGAATTAAGCATTTCGGACATATTGCATACTGCAATTAGTTCCCAATTTCAGCAAAGGCGGCTGCTTCGTCAATGCGACGAGCGCAAATGATGTGGGGAGTCAGTCGTTCAGCGGGCGGACGTTTGGAAGTAATTAATCCGGCAGGGTATACGGTGGCCGTGCTATAGCCAGTGCCTTTTGTCCTTGGGAGAATAGCCGGAGGCTTGGTCGACCTCGAGATTGGTCCATGTATTCTTCTTATGAACGACTGCCGAAGGTAATGCGAGATTGATGCTTGTAAATGCATTATCACTGTTCTGAGAGTCAGGTGGTCATTAGCTAAGTGCACAGTATCGCAGCCCCGGAGCTCTATTGTGCGGACGAGTGATATGGCGCGGGGCCTCCGGTACTCATGTGGATGAAGTTACGGTTGCGCTCGCATCCAGCGTTGACGAAGCTGGCTCCCGGACGAATTGGCTGTCCATCGTGGAGGCACGAAAGTTGTGGGAGTAGCGACGCGCTCAGGTTCGTGTGTGAAGGAGAAGTTCGAGAGGACAAGTGGGTATGACGTCATGACTCTACCCTTCAACATGAGGCCTTACCATAATCCTTAACACAGCACTATCAAGTACAAGTAAACGTAAGCCTGGCATGCAGTATTGAATTGGTCCTGAGCAGAGCGCAGCTCGATGTTTGTAGACGATCGCTGCACCTGACGCGGTGGAGCTCTCCCGTGCACGGACCGCCGCGCTTTCAATCGCCTCGCATCTTGTTTCATCTACCACGCCATCAGACGATGCCGAGGCGCAACCAACGCTTCATACTACAGATCGTCATATCCGCACGTCCTGTCGAGTCGGTATCGATCAAATGACACGTCATGAATGTGTTATGCGTGCCGTAGGGCAAGACCAGTCCAGACCGGGATCGCGCAGCTGTTTACTGGGTTAAGACGCGTATGTACTTTCCGACACATGGCTTTGTGATACTTCGATGAATGCGAACTAATTACATTTGTAGTATTTTACATGATTGTCTACGGCACCTGTGTGTTCATCGCGACGTCGACAATATCCGTCGCGATCCTGTCGTGTTCATAAACACCAGAGCGACTCGTATCCCAGGCCATTTTTTCTTTGTTGTATCGCTCCACGGCCTTTAAAAACTTACGATGCAACTCTCCCAATCGCGGAAACTGTGCATTGGTACGCTTGGACTGTTTCTTCTTCGCACAGCTGATGTTCATCAAGCGCACCAATTCTGCCCATGCGAGGAGTTTGAGGAAAGCGTCCTCATTTGAAAAGAAGCGGCTTCGCATAGCGGGGTTCCACCCTTGGAAGAGTTGGACGGCGGGACGTACTACGCCTCCAAACCAATCGGGCTCTGCACGATTACCTTCCCATAGACGAAAGATCTCTTCGGCATGGACATCGACGTAGTCCTTGAGTAGACGAAGCTGCGTGACAGCAACGCCCTCCTCCGTACTACATATAATGCCCTTACTCCGCTGTGGGAAATTGAGGGTGACCTCCTCTCGTAATGGATTGACTTGCAATTCGAAGATCTGTTCGATGTCATTGCCGATGCGCTCGGCTAGACTACGGTTGCACAAGTACACCTGGCATATTGGGCACCTGCCGACCTTCTCATCAAGCGTGCGCAGATTGTCCATGAGACATCGGTCATGCATGGAGCAACCGCAGGGAGGTGCTATGACAGGATTCTTGTCTGCGTCATGGTAAGACTTGAAGCACAACTGGCAATTCCCAGTAGGTGTAGGGTCTTTCCAAGAATTCGGCACAGCACAACGCTCAAGGAAATCCACCTGATCAGGAAGTGAAGACGGGATGGTGTCGGAAGCCTTGTGGAAACGTGAGCTTAATCGTTCGGTGTCGTGTGCAGGAGTGGACGTACTAGGGGGTGCCTCTGTGCACCGAACGCTGAAGCGTTTGGCCTTGGCCTCCAACTCCGACCTCGTATCCCAAGTTCGACCTTCAAGCTTCTTTAGCGTTGCAGTATGCCGTTGGTGTGTTGGCTTACCTGGAAGTTCGACTGGCGACCCACGAGCGGGAAGTTCGACTGGCGATCTACGCGCAGGAAGCTCTGCCACTGGTCTATGAGTCGCTGGCGCATCGAAACCGAATGAATCCGCCCTATCGCCGTTCACGTACAAAGTCGACGGTAGTAGCTCTTCGCTGTCCTTCTCAATCACCCAGCGAGGTGGGTTGCCCTGGTACCATTCGTCATAGGCAAACGGTGGCGACCTTTCGCTCTTAATGGTTCCAACACTGGACTGCCCGCTCACTACAGATAGGTTAGTGGATGTGGGCAGGTACGTCTCGTTCGTATACAGACCAGTCACACCCAGCATATCTCTAGCCCTTGCTACACTTGCATCTGTCTGGATTCCGGGAAACATGCCCATCGTGGCCTGGGCATCTGCATAGATCGAGGACGTATCATGAACAGAATCGACCCGATGATGGCGCGTGTGCGGCACTGCTGGTGAGGCTGAGCGCGTAGATGGGGGAGCCGAGCCCATGGGCGTGCTATCACGCGAAGAGTTACCGTGTTGAGATATCAAGACCGATGGACGACCCTTCTGCCATACTTGAGGGGGCATCTCTGGCTCTCGTGCTGGAATCGAAGCACTACGATGAAGGCCTGGGATGATCGAAGATATACGCTCGGCAGTGTCACGTATCCTCGTCTCTAGCGAGGCTCGTGGCCTAGACTTCTCCCCAGCATGTCCGGACGAGCTTGGCCGCGAATTATGCACGGAACTGGATGTCATGGAACCGCATGTCATGGAACCGAAGGTCATGGAACCGGATTCCACGGAACCGGATAGGAAGTCTACACTGGGTGTGTACGCCGGGGGCTCATCGCCATTCACGCCCTTCCACTGGTCCTTTGTAACAGTGTTCTTATCCGTGTGCATACAGAAGAACTCCGCGCATTGCTCGACGATCTCAGGATGGCGCGGCGTCTGATAGCTATGCTTCCTTGGTTGTGAGCAGCGACACACGAAGTCTTTGTTCCGGCTGGTATAGTGAAAGTCTTCAACAAATACGCCTTCCATCGCCCACTTCGCTTCTCGGCTTGCGCGATACTTCCGGAAGTCAGCGAAGCTGCAGGATTCAAGGCCATGACGGTCGAGATATAGCATGATGCTGGCGCTTAGATGCCTTGATTCGCATGCTACGGTGGACGTCCTCTCGCCATGTCGTCCCGCATCATGACAACGGCAGACGCGCGTGCGCTCTCCGCCAACGTAATGTAAGATGCGTTCCTCGGATGACAAAGAGGATAGGGAGTGGCGGTGGAGATCGTCTGCACGGCGCACTTCGACCGATCTTGTGCGCTTACGGCGGACGTAAACGTAGTTACCTTTGTTGTGCGCGTAAGACTGCATCTTGTTATATGAGTAACAATATTTCGTGGATGGGCAGGTAGACGGCAGTCTCTACTGGTAAACGTGACCCAGCGGTCTGTATGAAAATACTGGGCTGACTATCTAGGTTCCAGGATTTGCAAAACCTTCCCAGAGTGAAAAGAACTACAACTAGGTTCTCCTTTCGTGACGTCGTGCACGCACCAAGTACAACGGCATCGTTCATACAAGAGAACGTCACGAAGTTGGTGTTGAGCACAGGCCTGCACAATGCGATTCATTCCCAGAGCCTTTCAAAAGCGTTGTGAGAACGACACTCATGCAAATAAGTCATACTTCGATCGCCACTTCACGATGCGAGGACATTATGTTTCAGGTTGGCAGTGATGCGCGATGTTGTATATGAGGAGTGGTTCTCATTCTATCGTCTATTCGACGTTGTTCCTAGTCATTAAGGCCATCGCTGCGGCCTTGCGAGACGGATTGGTAACGACCCTTCACATCGGCCGAAGCCGCGCTCGAATGATGCACATAGTTCGGGAATATTTCCTAGGACCCCGGCTCATCGTCCTCGAACAGATCGTCTAATCCTGGATCATCTTACTCGACCGCTTCATCTGCATCCTCGAACAAATCATCCAAGTTCGAATCGTCTACCTCAGAGCTCTCTTCCGCGTCTACCGGCTCCTGAACCAGCGTCGGCACCATCTCTTCGGCCTTCTTCTTCACAAACGCGGGGTTCTTGTCCGGAATTCCAGACGGTTCATCACCCTTCGAGATGATTATCTGCTCCGGTGAAAGCTGGAAACCCTGAGCCTCAAGATGTTTGACCTCCCAATACTCATTAAAGCGTGGCCAATTAGGCCACTTCTTTCTCCTCTCGTAGAGCCGACATCTCTTGATATCCCACTCGTACTTCTTTAGCTTTTTTGCGACTTCCTCTTGAAATGCGGCCTCAGCGTCAGCAGCCTGCTCTTCTGGAGAAAGCTCAGAATCAACTTCAGAAGTAGACGCGACGTCCTGTTCAAGCGAATTCGGTGCCAGAATAGGTCCAAGTGCAGCTCCTGCATCATTCGCATTGTGTGGCTGCTCTCGCCATTTCTTGCTGCGTTCCTTTCTCGCTTCTTTCTTCGCGCTGGCATCCGCCTTCTTTTCACCCCGCAGTCGCTCTTTCTCTGCATGCTTCATCGTCTGGTCTTCACTTCGCTTGGGTGACTGTTCCGTCTTCCATGTAATATGGCTCTTATCCAAGTCGCCCTTCTTGACCAACTCTTCCATCTTTCGTTTCCACGCCGATTTATCCCGCGAGATTGAAGCTCTCTTTCTTTCCTTTGTGACGCCTTCTGTGCAGCAGTCCCCGGTTTCAAATTGGTGGTTGCATTTGTACCTTCCGGTGACTTCGTGCGGCGTAAAGTCCTCGAGCTCGCCGGGGTATGGAGGGACCGAGACTGTGTCCAGGGGATGTTTTACCTGGTCTGGTCTGATAGTCTCTACTGGTACTGACGAAGTAACGGTAGGCTCAGAAGATATAGAAGTCTGAGGCTTCGGTACCGGCTTTTGCCACGTATCTGGCTTCTGCTGTTCCAGCACTTGGCCAGATGTGGATGGCTGAGACTCGACCGCCAGATCCTCAGCAGGCGTCCCACATGCAGTGGCGCGATCGCGATAGTTCTTGTAGGCCACCCGCATCTCCCAATTGACTGGTGTCTCGACAGTCTGAAATGCCACGAGTTGGCTCCAACTTGCCCTGGTCTCGGCCGTGTTCTCCTTGAATTTGTTCGCCAACTCCATCTCTCTCTCCATCAAGCTCGTTTGGACGTTCACGATTCGATTCCAAAGCTTGAGGTATTCTTCGCTAGCTTGGCCACACTGGCTCATCCGACATCCTAGCTCTACCATATGGTGGTAGGCGATATAACGTTGGAGTGGTGGCAGAGCTCGCAGACGCCACACGTCGCGCGGCACGAGCAATTCAATACGAGGACGGACAGCAGCCCCCACAGTGCCTTGCTTGGCGGAAATAGCCGGTACGGTCGTGACAGGCGTTCCTTGAAGGTCTGGTTGCGCATCGATGAGCCACTGCTCTTGCTGAGTGCGCGGCGTCGTTCGCGCGGCCTGCACATTCACAGCGGGAGCTTGGATACCGCGATGAAGTCCTCCTACCCCCGTCTGGCGAGAAGCACACTGTGTGGCTGCGACTGGGGTAGCACTGTATTGGTATGGTATTTGTGTACCAACGACTCGCTGAACATATCGTTGCTGCTGTTGCGGACGCGGATCCTCTGCAGGCATTATAGGTGCCATGGGGCCAGTTGACCCATGACTACGCGTAGTCTGGGGTACATGAAGTCTCGGCGCACACTCAGGCTGTAGCGTTGGTGCAGACTGTTGAACTGTTGTAGGCAGCGTGGCTTGTTGTCGTTCGTACCCGCGCGCAGTCTGGGGTCGATGTAGTCCCCACGCGTAGTCAGGCTGTATTGCTAGCGCAGGGTGTCGGTTCACGTGAGATCCATAGACCTGGTATAGATTCCCAAACCCCATCTGTGGAGTTGTCGGAGGCCGTGACGGGGGGCTGACACCACAATGCTGGTTGTTGCCATGTATATACCCTAACGTGGGAGTATATAAGCCGTTCTGGGAAGGCGTATATCCTGGGTTGAATCCCCGTGGGTTCAGTGGGACCGATGGATGAGTATGCGGCGGGCTTAAGTACGGAGGATGGACAAGAGGTGACGACGGGGGTCGTGGAATGTAAAGCGAGGGTGTTTGTGTGTAGCAATCGTGGACATGGCTGGAATCTTCAGGCGGCGTCCAAAGTTCATACTGGCGTTGTCGTTTGATCGACCCAACTAACTCCTCTTCGTGCGCGCGCTTCGGTGGGCGCGGTAGCGTCGCAGGCGTGGACGGTAACTGAGACATGACAGTATAACTAGCAGCCGTAGGTATGGCGAGACGTCGTTGCTTGGAGACTTTTCGAAGCTCGCGAATTCGCGATCGAATTGTTGAGCGTGGCAGTGGATGGGTGGAGGTGGGTTCCAGAGGCTGCGGTATTGCTGGAAGACCAGACCCAGCGTCAGGACCAGCTAGCATGTGATTCATTCGGTCACTATTGTTCTGGATATGGAGCGATGCCTGCGAAACGCACTGACGGTCACTCGGAAGCGGCAAGTGCTGTGTGGTTTTCACTTGCACTTTGCTTGTGCTACTCTTTTGTGGGTACGCGGTTGTCCACTGAGGAGCCTGTATCTGTTGGAATTCATGCTAGATCGATGATAAAGTAGGGGGGTTTCGGTACTAACGTCTACATGGATAGGGTTCATAGTCGTAGAAATCTTGTCGCATGCCGCCTACATGGACGCTCGTATTAAAGAAACTAAACTGCATATTGGGACTTGAGGTATACATCGTCTTCTAAACTACTTATCTATGACTATAGAACTCTGTGAATGCAGTAAAGTGATACATATTCTCCCTATTCGCGCGTTGACAAGTGGTACAAGTAGTCTATGGAATTTTCTCTCAACTCGTACTCGTCACTCTCCATGAAATTGCTACTATCCCACATTACGTCAAGAGCGTATTTTCCATCGAACTCGAGGTGCACTTTCAGTCCGTCGGCGCCATGTTGGTTGAGAATTGTGCCACGTTCAGTGTCGAAGAACATGTAGTTGCCCAAGATCTGTTTCACCTGAACTCCTGGTAACAGCTTTGTCGTATACTTTCTTAGAGACTCATTTGGTCCAGGTTCAGGCCAGTAGTCGCCTTTGGAAGAGCTCATGCCACGAAAGATTAGCGTTTTGAGATTTGGCCAGTCTTCGGTGAAAGCTTGCTTCACAACGTCTTGGCGAAATCGTATATCTGGAGGGCATTTGACGTCTGCATCCGCTTTGATGTGCTCATCGAGCTCGTCATGGCGGTCGACGAATATCTTTCGGTGTTCCAGTACGATCTCTACCGCGGTGAGACGAATAGATCGTAGCAGAGACGCCCATTGTTGCAGTTGAGGGGCTTCGTAGTCAACATCATTGGGTCTCTTGCGGAATCCATCGGACCAAACAGGCTTACAAAGTAGCAAATGAGTAAGCGAGGCGAATTCAGGCCATGCCGCGTCATGCCATAGGCTACCTCGAGGACCAATGTAAATCGGACATACAGTCTCCCCGTATTCCGTGCGCTCCAAGTCGATGCCTCTGGAGAACTCTGGCTCATCAAGAAGGCCGAGATCGAGACTGACTATGAATCATCAACTGATCTATATTTAAGGTAATGTATACTCCAGAGGTAGGCAAGCACTCAACTACATCTCCTTCACCCTCCCGACCTATGCTCCGTAAACCCTGAGATCAGCGTAACCATTCCGCCAACCCCTAGCCCTTTTCTGTACAGCCTTCACCACCGAATGCGGCAACGGCGCCGTCCACCCCTTCTTCACCAGCAACTTCTTCTCCTTCTCGTAATACCCTTCTTTCCTCCAGATCTCGAGTGTAACACCCAGCTTCTCAAGCTCATCCGCCGCATACCGGAAGAAGGTGACATCCGTCGGATCCAATTCATACAGGCGGGGTGCATCTTCCCTCGGGTTATCCATCTCCATGATCACAACAAGAGCGAGGCGTCTTAGCGGAGGGAACATGGCGGCTAGAGAAGCGAGGCAGATTTGGAGTGCTTCAGTTTCGCTCATGTCGTCGCTTTCTTCAATGGTGTCGTGGAATGTGGTGACGAGATGGTGGAGCTTGTCGATATCGACGCAGTCCAACGTCAGATCTTCCAAGCTCGCGGGGAAGACGGCGTGAGGGTTGGATAGACACTTCAAGTTGGTGGAGTTGGTGTCGCTTTTGGGGACGAGGAGGTCGAAATCGATGTGTAACTGGCGGAGGTTTGTGAGATCTTTGAACGTATCGAAACTTGGGTGGCCTTCTTGTCGGTCAGACTTCTGATTTGACCACTGGAGTAGTTCTAGGAGTGGGGTGTGTTTCTCTAGGCTTCGCAGGAGTTCGGCTAGGTTGTCGCCACGCAAAGCGAGAGGCAGATTGCGTCTGCTGCGTCCGCAGTCATCGACTACGAGTTCTCGGAGGTTGGCCATTGCTGGGTTGCTGACCATGTTCTGGATTATAGCAGGAGTGATGTTTCTAGTTGTCGTAAATCGAATTCGGCGGAGGACGGGTTGCGCAGGCATAGGGGATGGATAAGCGAACATGGATGAAGTCGCTCGTGCTTCGACATCGAAATACCCGACGTTGTACTCTAATGTTCGTAGGGTTGGCAATACCACGATGGAAGGCATCAGAGAAAGACCGGCGTTGTGGACGAGATGTTGAACGTTCTGGAAGGGGCCTTTGCCGTCACTCCAAGGTGCCCAAAGAAGGCGTAACACATGTGTAGGTGGTTCTTTGGAACCAAGTTCTAGATACTGGACCTTCTGCGCCATAAACAGAATGAGCGTGAAAATCTGATTGCTGGCTGTATAGTGATTCATGGGAGCCGTCAGAATATCACAATACAAGGTCAGTTTTGCTGAGAGGAATTCCGAGAACCCGCATTCTGGAGAGAGAACTTCATCCAGCACCTCTTGTATCGCGTGCGTGTAATTCCATACATCATATTGGAGCTTCTTCCTCGTCGGCGGCTTTATGTCGGCGTCGTGAGAGGACCAATGCTGGGCTGGTATGTAGCTCAAGCTCTTGATGTGAAGGGCGAGTTCCTTGCGGTCTAACAACGTGAAGAGCAGTCGCAGTGGTCTTTCAAGGTCAGATTCATACACTTCGATATTCGTATAGAGATATGGCTCAGCAATGCCTCGGTAGTATTTGTTCGTCTTGGAGAAGGCGCTGAGAGCCTTAGTGTCGCCGACGAGGCAGCTGGCGATTTGGCCATCAAGCTCCGTCGATAGCTTCTGGAGGGACATATTGTATACTGTTGGGCCGACTTCGTTGAGGTGGTGGAAGAACAGTGGTATGAACAGAGGTCGAGTGGAGAGTCTGCAATTACGAAAGCAACCGCCTTAAAGTTGAAAGTTGAAGCCAGTGGTCGCTCGCGGTAGTTGATCGCTATACTTTTGGTAGCGGCGTTGAGACTGGCAGAAGAGCGGCGTGGATAAAGCCTGGAGCCGAAAGTAGAACTGAAGAAAACACAGTCGACCACACCGCTCGGACCCTCCTCTTTCGATTTACACACCACCAGTAGTGAAAGACCATGAATTCCTACCTGTATGCGTAAGGGTGTCCATCTTCCTCTCCCCACCAACTCAGATGCGACTTAAGACCCTCTTCAGCCCAGTCACCCGCATATGCCCAGTTTGGACCATAGCTTCCTACCTGAGTGCATGTGAGTATTCGTTTCCATCTCCCCCAACGACCCAAATTCCGCTCAGAACCCTCTCTTTCAATAATCACGTGTACGCCCACCAGCAGTGAAGGATGGTGGAATGCTTCCCACCTGCGTGCATGTGAGCATCGCGTCTACGTCCCTTGCGCCCTTCAATACCCTCGCACCCATAGCGTACCTTCAATCTTCAACTCTTTCCTGTCTGCACGCTGAGCCATCTGAATTTCGCCGCTCATGTACTGGCTTTACATCATGCTGTTGCCTTCGCATCTCCTCACACTCTACTTCACCTCTCCCACCGCCTCAACCCCATGAACATCAAGACCAACACCGCACCAACTTGTGATGTAATACGATTAAACATTGACCAGCCCGAGCACACCACCTATCTATGTATACATATGCTCCTTTCCCTTTGACGCCACTTCATAACCTTCGTTGAACGGATGAAGACTGAAACGCTGATTCCGAGGAAAATGTTCCAAATGCGAGAAAAAGATTGCGAAACGAACAAATGTCTTTTCATTACCTCAACGGCGAGCCCACCCTGCCCTCCACAGGCGTCTCGCCCGTCGTAACGCGTATACTAGGCAGTCTCTCAAGATTCAGATTCAGCGCCGGTAACTGCGGCGCCCTCGTATTAATCGGACTTTCGTAATTCGGAGGATCTTCATACGCAGGCGCATCTTCCCCTGGTACAGGCCCACCACTCCCGCCAACTCCACTTCCACTTCCACTCCCACTCCCACTATAACTCCTCTCCGGATTCAAACTCACAACCTCAAACCCCTCGGTATTTGGACTGGGACCAGGACTAGGCCCAGCAGTAGAATGCGAATTCGAGCGCGACGCATCCGCAAAGTCGTAGTCGTCGGACCCGCGGGATTCAACGGATTGGGTGAGAGAAGTGACGGAGAGGCCGCGGGCGTGGGCGTCACGGCCGCGGGATTGGCCGGAGAAGGAGGCGGCGGAGTCGAGGAGGGGTCTGTTGTCGCTTTCGGAGGAGTTGGCTCGGAGGCGTGTGCCGTCGTGGCGCGCGACGCCTAAGTCGCCATACGCAACAGCGCTCACGCGTCTGTCTCTCGACCGGGTCCGCGCTTGGTGCTCTGCGATGAGCATTTGTGAAACGGAGAGGTCGGCTGCTTCTTCTGCGCGGCGCCGTATATCAGCTAGGGCTTGGACGTCGCCGCGAGCGCGGGCTTCTCGTCGGGCTTGACGCCGGGCTTCGCGGTCGGTGGCTTCGATGCGGCGGGCGAGTCGGATTTGATAGAGGGATTCCATTTCTTCTTCCCGTTGGCGCTCTTCTTCGTCGATGGTTTCGGGGAGTTCGAGGACTGTGTCTACGCCGCCGCGTTCGCCTTCGCGGGCGAGGACGCGCTCGTTCTCTCGTGCGGCAGACGAGTAGGCGGGAAGGGTCATGACGCTGCGGACGGATGTGTTTCTGTCGACGCCGGCACCGGTTGTGCTGTTTATTTGCCTTTCCGGATCTCCTGCTGCTGCTCCGCTCATCTCACCACTCGCCCTGCTTGTGCTCCCCCGGTACTCGGTATCCTGCAGACTGGTCGAGTAGTCATTTCGGCGCGGGCGCTTGCGGAACGCTTTCCACGAGAATAACGAGGGGAGTTTGTCGGCGGACGACTGTTGTGCTTTCTTTGCGGCGCGGTACGGGGCGCGGAACTTGAGGGTTGAGAAGTATGTGATTATGAGGATGGCGAAGATGGCGACGGCGATGATTCCGACCTGGGCAATGCAGGGTTAGCCAGTGTGTGGTAGAGTGTGGTAGAGCGATGGCGTAAACTTACTACGACAAAGGTCCTGCCCTGCTTGGAGACTTCTCTCCTCTCGAGGGCGCCGTCCCTTGCATGCCGCGCGGGTAACAACATGGCACCCAAACAACCATGCACCGGGCCCGTCCAAACGTCAAATGTCACCGGAGTCTTGTTTTCACAATGAGATCACTTGTTTGGAGAAGTGTGGATCGCCCAGGCTGCCAAAGGCCCGCCTTCTTGGTTCTGTTTGGCACTAGGGAGCTGTCGAACCGTTGTGTCGTGCGAAGGTTAAGGCAAAACGTTAAGAACAAGCGGCGGGAAGCGATGTCGTGGATGCGGTTAGGATATTGGGGGTTAATGGGTGTATAGTTTGGCGACTACGGAATGGCCGAACAACAATGGGGGAGAGCCGCGAGTAATGGTCTGGCTAGGTCTGCGCCCGGAAGTTGGTCTTGGCAACCTGGCTGAGTGTTGATGCGGTTGCCGGGATGATGGAGCTGTGACCAGGGGCTGTGGCACGACGAAGTGGAAGATGGAAGGATTGCAGTGGGATGCAGGACGATGCAGCATGGCAGTACTCTAGCAATTCCTCCTTTACACCTCAACAATGCTGTATATGCAAGATGACAATCAGCCAGCGGCAGACGCCAAAAGCAAGCCTCATGTCATCTCCAAAACCTGCTGCTATTCTTAGGCGCCATCTCCCAGATTCAAGGTCCCCACTAGCGCCGGCTCCTGATTGGCGCATCCTCCTGCAGGATGATCGCATTCACATGTTTGATCTACAGCGCCGTGGCACAGAGCCACAGACAGACAAACGGCGGTCGCAATAACGGTCGTGAACAAAATTTCGAAAATGGTTATACAGTATATTTTTTGGAGTAAATGACTTGAATGGAAGTCGACGCTGGCTAATTCAACTCCAAGATGGAATACAATAGATACAAGAACCTGGGTGCGCTTTCAATGACATGATAAACTAAAACTTCTTATCCAACTTTTTCAAGAAACTGCCAATCCCTTTCTCCACTTTATCTACCCGCTTTCCGATGTTGGAGTTGCGTTGAGGGGCATTAGGATTCTCGTGGTCTTGCACTGCGGCTTCGTTCTCCGTCGGTCTGTATAGCTGCTGATGCAGGTTCTGACCCTGTGGTGGAGTTCCTGTGCTACCGTACTGGTATTGCGCAAAGCCAGGAGAAGCCATTGGCTGGTATTGCTGGGGAGGGAAGCCGGGAGATGGTAATGCAGAATGCGCGGGAGGGGATTGGGGGGCAGGAGGGAAGCCAGGCGAGGATGGGTAGTTGGCGTATTGGTGGACTGGTGCTGTGGATGTTCGCTTCATGGCTGGGGGTGGTGGGGTGCCGTTGTATTGGCCTGGTGGAGGGGCAGACGGAGGGGGTGCGAAGGACGGCGGACTTTGCGATGCACTTGGTGGGCCTGTGAAGCCCTGGCCGGGTGCTGGTGGTCCTGGGAAGTATGCCCCTGATGTCGGTTGAGGCGCGAACGAAGCTTGTAGCGGGTTGCCGTATTGCGCCGCGTGTTGATCATGAACAGCGGCAGATCCAAGCCCCGTACCATCATTCGCGTCTGGTGGTGGTGGTGTCTTTTCGCGATGAGCAATTGGCTCAGGCGCGGCTGGAGCAGCCGGGTTGTATGCCATTGGAGCGTAGTTGGGTGGCTGCTCGCTGGGAGGAGGTGATGTAGGGGCAGGTGCTGTGGGAGGGCCGGGGAACGACTGGGTTGTGCTGACACTCGGGGTACGGCTTGTATGTGATATGGCGGCGCTTTCCAGCCTTGCGATGACTGGGCTCAGGGCATCGTTCTTGTGTTCCGAGTGTGTTGGTGTGGCATTGGGGTTGCGCACAATCTGCATTTGGTGTGGTTGCAGCACTCTCCTGATAGAGTCGAGGAACAGGCTCGCGTCTTCCGGCGTCCAGAAGTACAAGTCTACCGTGTGCAGCCTATACATGTATTTGCCCTGGTTCGAGGGATCGGGTGTGGGGAGATGCCATTGCGACGTGTCTTGGTGGGGGCTCGCGCTGCCATTGTGACTCCGAAACGCGTCGACTGTGAGAGTGAACAGACATGGGTGTTTGTATGTGTGCTCGATCTTGACTGTGTCCAGCTCTATACAGCATGTCAGCTCGTGTGTGATGGGGAAATGTGTCAGCACTCACGGCCGGAAAAGGCATCCTGGTTGGGAGTGCCCGCATGGTTCGCGACTTCTATGCGCCCACTCTGGCGCATAGGGTTGTGGTAGAGGTAGACATAGGAGCTCTTGTCGAAGCGGTGGTGCGGGGGGACCTGGCTAGGCGGGGAGATGTAGTAGTGGACGTCTGCGAAGCTATTCACAGTCAGTATAGGATCGAGATATACAAAGCTACCACTACTCACAGCGTCAAGAGAGATACCTCTCCCTGCTGCGGAGGCATGGTGTTAGTGTAAGATGGCAGTCTATCAGGCGTCCCAGATATATCCAGGCCAAGATGTGGAGTACTAGGAGTAGCTGTAGTAAAGTAAGACGGAAGTCAGCACGCTCGCAGCAGCATCAAGAGAACTGTGACATATATAGGGTCGCAAGGCTGTCATCTCAGCTCCCCACGGGTGCAGCCAACAGCTGCGCGTTCTTCTATTTGCGTCGTGCTCGAAGCGCCCGCGGTAGTGTCTTGTTTAGTAGGCGCCGGCCCAAGCTCTGCCGAATGGGCAGCGGGCAGCTCTGCTCCACCCGTGACTTGCGGACCTCCGAGCCAATCCAGAAATTTGCTGCATCGAGCATCGTCAAGCACGAGCATCCGCCGCCGACGACGCGCAA